GCAGGCCATCGCCGACACGGAGGCACCTCCAAGGCCCTCCGACAGGATGAGATTGCGGTAGAGGGGTCAAAGGCTAGAAAACGAGCCCAAGTGAGTGGCAGTTGCCCTCAACCAGGGGCCTGTCACGATACACGGGCTCTCTTTGAACAAAGGGTTTCCCAGAGGCTCCGAGCAAGGAGCAACGACATGGTGACATGGACCAGTGCAAGCTCCACAGAAGTGGCCTGAAACAACTGCAAACCGCAGCTGGCAGGATGGCAGCTTCCGCCATGGCCCTGGATCTAGGTGCGGAGACTGTCATGTTGCAATCAGGGGTTGGCTCAACACTGGAAATATCCCAATGATGCTGGAGACTTGTCTGTACAGTTCAAATCAAGAGGCTGTGGGCTGAGGAGGTTGTGTTTGGAGCCGGCCATGTTCACACATGTGAAACTTAGACAGCAAGAGCATGACACGAGCTTCCAGCGGCTCGCCTCGTGATGCATGTATGCCATGTGTTATTCGAGCACACAGTGACCTCCTTGCATGTGGCCCCTCCCTTTGCCGGCGGCTCGCTGGCCGCCCTTGGCGGCTGCATGTGCGGTGCACCCGGAAGCACATGCTCCGCGGATTTCGGCTCAGACTCGGAGGGCGGCCGTCGGCTGCCCCACGGCGCGAAGCCGAAGGTGTGAAGCCCAGTGCAGGCGCGCTGACCCGGAAGACTGAGAAACAGAAAGGCGGGGAACAGAGACGTGCCCGTGAAGTTCCCGTAATTAGGCGTGTTACAACGTGAAGTTGTTTGCAGGATGGCACGGCGTTCTTTCCAGGTTCCTTGCGACTTTGGCTGATTGGACCACAAGCAGATTACTGAAGAAGACATGAAACAACACTGCCCTTAGCTGGTGCTGAGAACGTGTGACATGGACAATCCATGCGAGTGGTGCAAACAACGGGCAATCGTGTCCCCAAACCTCCCATGAGCCTGAAAGTGGCCTGGTCTTTGGCTAAACCCTGCATCGGCAGCCAGGACCAAACAAAGCTCGCCGCAGTGTGATTGAATCGTTATTGGGGCAACTTGTCTCACAGAGCTCTCTCTTACACTGAGCCATGCTTTGTCATCGGCGGTAGCCTTCAACTGCCCCGTTAGCATCGTCATGGGGGACTAAGACATCCTACTTTGAAGAGGCCGGACTTACTTTTCACTCAATATGTAATATGTCTGATGAATGCCATACGCAGTGGGACGAGAAACGAGCTGCGACATTCAGCTGGAACACATGCTCCCAATTCAACACTCGACGGGCGATGCCTCGCATGAACCCCCTCCACATGCTTGGGGCCTTGGGGCGAGGGTCCATGTTTGTAGGCTTTTGGCACGCTTAGACCTGGCCAACATTAAACAAACTATTTGGAGATGACGGTATGTGTCAACACTAGGCTTAATGATCGGATCCAAAAGGACACCTGTCATTGAGAGTCCCAGGTTTCGACACTTACCCCCCTGGCACGCAGAACCAAAAAATATATTCCCAAAAAATCGTATCCGCTTTTTGTGAGGGGTCATATCAAATCTGGGCAGTAGGATGAGTATGCCTTTGCATCAAGCGAGCCAGGAGCCCCTTGGCTCGTTGCTTGGCTTCGTGCACTGAAGGCGCACGACTTGTGAGATCTTATCGGCCGTGGCTCCCGAGCGCGCAGCAGGGGCTTTTTCTTCGAAAGCTGCTGTTTACAGTTTACTGCCGAGTTCTATATAATTGAACTGCCACTTTGGAGGTACCAATTTCTTAAATTGAGGGACCCCTTGAGGCTGGCATGAAGCGTCAGGCTGTTTCCCGTGGCCGCGATGGCCATGCCGAACCTGAACCAGATGATGCCGAATGCAAAGGAGGGACTCCATGCATTCGCCTAGAAGCAACTGGACGGGGCTGCAGGAAACTGTTTGAGCAAGGGTTGGAGGTTGAACCCTGCGCCAGGAAAGGGCATCGAAAGAGAAGATGCAGATCGAGTCGGAGGTTTTCAAACTGTTGAAGGCGCGTATTTAAGTGGGAGCCTAAACAATCCCCAAACCAACCCGAAACCATGATCCAACCTTAAACCCTAAACCCGTGCCTAACACCAACCCTAAACCAGCCTAAGCCAACCAACGCTGGCAATTTTCGGGAGAAGTCGATTTAAGTTCAAGAATCACTTCGATGTGCGGGTATGCACGCTCCCGAGTCAGTGCGACAAGCCCCTGAGGTCAATCCCAGAGCCACTTGTCCTGCAATGCAAGAGCCTCCCGTGCAAATGTCAACTGCCCTTGGCTTGTGGTTGAGGGGATTTTGTCACTGTTGGGGGCCCTTGACTTGCCCAAACAAGAGAAGACAAAGGGTGAAGAGGCTGAACCCCGACCATTGGATTTATTATGCCTTGCTCATGATTTCGGGCCAATCTTTAAACAAGCAGAACATATCGCTGCATGCAAGCAGGGTATGCATCAGCCAGGGACAGATTCCGATGCAGCATGCCCATCATAATGTGTTGTCGATGCGATTGTTGTTCTTTTGTGTGCGGCAGCATGCTAAAAGTATCATTTGTTCAATTGTAAGTTACACTGTGTCAAACTTGTATTGCATTTGCCAGTGGCATTTGCGCGAGGTTTCTGAGACGCGAGGTTTCTGAGACGGTGCTAGGTCAAATACGTCTGCCCAAACATTTGTGGGAGTCTGGGTGGCAGCGCACCCAAGGACGTCAAGCAGAAGCTGAGCGTTGCTGACCTGAAGGCCCTGGCTGTGAGGGCATCGGCCGGGCCTTCGTAAGCATCCTCCACAATCCGTTCCCCTGAGCAAAGATGCCCCCCCCCCCCTCCTCCCGAGTAGTCCCGTTCCGCTCCTTTGCGGTCCTCTTCCGTCGCCCGTCCTCACCTTATTTCCGAAGGATTTTATGCAGCAGAAATTGTATTGTCCCTAATTCGGATTGTATTGGTTTCAATTCGGTTGAGCAAGTACTGTTCAACCTCCTCATTGGTTCTTGTTGGTTTAGCATGGCTAGCACCGGTGCAGAGGGCCCCCAAACAAACCCGCTACTTTGGGGTTGGCTGGAAAAATCGCTGCTTGAGTTCTGAACTGGCCTGCTTCTAGTCAGTAGCATTTGGGACGGGGAGGGGGTCTGTCGGAGGTGCATCATGAGGCTCTGCAAGATACCCAGGAGGAGGTGGAGGACCTGCATTCCTGTGCTTTTCAAATCTTTGGATTTCCCCTTCTGGAACATTTGAGCAGCCCACTTTAGACCATCAACCTTTTTTGCCCAGCATGTTCTCGGCATTGCGATGCCACACACTGCCATCCCCAGCAACCTCCCCTTGCGGAGTTCCAGGCCCTGATGCATGTTGAACCCGAGCCTTGTCCACGGGAGCTTGCTTGTTATTGACGGCACAGTGACAAACCATGCGTATTGTTCTCTTCATATCTCTTGAATGTTGCAACGGCGCACTCCCAGCTGTCAGTTCTGCGTATTATGCAGCTTCTGCTCACGTGTGCAGGATCATTTGCTTTTTATCACCAGCCTTCAGCTCTTGAACCAGGTGCAGTTGGGCGGGCTGCGAGACATGGAGCGGGGAGGAGGTCTAGGAAGCAACGGAAGAGCATCGGTATCCCTCAGTCTTTGGAGGTATTTGCTGCATGCTGTGTCACCGGCCGGGGCGCATAGTTGAACAGGCACCTACCCAGACGCAGTTGAGTTCCCCACATGGAGGTGTAATTTAAGCAGCTGACTCGCATACCGTGAGTTGTTGAACCTGCAGATGTACAGCTCTGACCAAACCACAGAAATGAAAGAATCTTGGGACGAGGCCTCAAGCCACATTTTTGCTGCAAGGCTCAGCTCATCATTTTTTTTTCGGCCTTCTGATTGTGTGCCGAGTGACTGGCACAAGATTTGCAAGGGGTGTATGTTTGGTCAAGTTATGTTTAAACAAGAGGGCCTTGCAGCAGCAGCAGGCCTCCAGCTTTCTTTAGGAAAGCTGGCCGGTATCCCCCATGTCACGGTACTCCCCGGCTTCGGGTGGTTCTGAACGGCAGAACGTCCGAGATTGTTCCAATGGACCCCGCTTGTCATGGAACAAGAAACACAACGAAAACAGCCCCAAAAAAAGGACAAGACCGACAAACACACGAGAAGGGTCAGCTGGCCCAGCAGCAAACCAAACGTGCACCGTGACGCGGCGTGTGGGCTGTGGGTGCCCGCGCTGAAGGTCCAGGTCCAGGGGTGCAGAAGAAATGTGCCAGTCAAGATGTTGGGCCGTTTTGGGAAAATAGCGCCCTTATGTGGTTGGAACGATTTCACGCGGCTATTTGTGCCTGCAAGCAAGAAAGTTGAGTCTCTATTGGGACTACGTTTGTCAGAGCCCACTCGCCTCTTACCTGAAGAGCAGGTTTGGGGGCGAGAGCAGGCAACACCGAGTCTCCAAGGAGAGCGTTGCCCCGAGTCCCCCTACCTGTTGATCCGTCTCGCTGCTTCTCGTCGGCGGGCATGTGCCAGCCCACCTCATACTGAGGAGGGACGTTCGCCCATATGCGCATCAGCATTGGAAATTCCAGCCCCCTTTCGCCAGTGTGACCATTCACAAATATGCACACATCAATGCCCGGCGATGCACCAGACTGAGTGATGCGGGCGACCACAAGTGAACCACAGCACATGGAAGATTGAAGCACGTGCAGCTGCAGACGATTGGATACAACCCAGCCCTAAAGTTCCGGAAAATGTGGGTGCTCCACTTGCAAGAGCAAGTGCTTCGGATTGCGCCCGTCAGGCCATGCGTAATCGGGACCTCAAGAAGCTGAGAGCGCAGGAGACAGGGCTAGAGTCCTGTATCCGTTGGGGCCACTTTTGCAATTCGAAGGATCATTGCCGCATGGGTCATGGGTCCCCTTTTTGGCCTTGATATGACCCACACGATCACATGATCCAGCTGACCAAGCGAAACTATGATGCATGGCTTTATGGCAGACAGGCCCGGACCCACCGAATGTAGGGTAGAAGCCCTGCAATGTTCGCAATGTTGCCATGGAGACTGCCACTCTTGAGAGACCATGTGGCGTGTAAACGAGCAGTTTGTATCGGACGGTTGCATGTGATGTAGGCAAACGTCAGGAACCCATCCATTTCTCGAGAGGAATCCGTGATGCAGATGTTCATCACAAAATGTTTGTGCACCATCTTTGCTTGGCTGCTGTCAGCGTTGCTTGTCTCAACGCTTCAAGGCCTGCATGCTTGGCCATGATGTTGACATTGAGCCAAGAACTCGGCTGACTCACATCTGTCATCATGAATCATGAGGTTGTTCAGGCTCCCAGCCAAAAGCCCCAAAGATGTTCTGGAGCCGAGACAGCACAACATTGCGTTTGGATGTCGTCCAGCCGGCATGGGGCATGTGTCAGAATGAATGAACAATTTAGAAGAATCCTATCGCCTTGAAAGTTGTTATTTCCCAGCTGAGGGTGGCTTACCAGTTGATCGTCCGGGTGCTGAGTGCCATGTTTGAGGGCGTCGAGGATGCAGATCAGCAGCAGGTCAGGCAGCTTATGGGATGCCCGGCCGAGAAGTAAATTGAAGCCAACTTTGGATGGACGACCGAAAGGGAGGTGTGCAGAGGAGAGCAAAGACCCTCCAAAACGTGGCGGCCTTTTTTGATCCACAGACGTACGTGGTCAAAATGGTACCCCAAAACAGTGTGAGGCAGGCAGAAACCCTTCGCAAGCCTGCTCCCTGGTGTTGGTAGCCGGTGTTTGCATACCTGCGCTGCTCCCAAGACTGGTATGGCTCAGGCAAGATTTTAGTGGACAGGCGGCCAGACCTAGTATGTAGCATGGAACGCATGCGCATCATGATCCTACTGAAAGCAAATTCTATCTACCCTAAGGCACACCAAATTCTGCTTGGAGCTTTTTCCGGGCAGAAATTTCAGACTTTTCTCAAGACAGCTTGAGCTGCGTTCAGCTTCTGCCGTGCTGAGGATACACCATCTATGCAGCCCGGCATTGGACTGATGGCGCCGCGAACTTTGCAGGGGATGGCACGCCTTGGTTCTTGTTGGGCGTTTGATCACGCGACCACGTGTGATCATGTCTGATCCCCGTGTTTTTAGACATTGCCTTGAAACCAAGGCGGGTCAGCTTTGATTTCGTTCTGGCAACCGGTTCCTTCTGACCAAGCGGAAGGGCACACACCCTTCTGGAAGACGCTATCTTTCAAAGGGGGGTTGTGCACTTCCATTTTGTAGGCGGGAACCCTTTATTGCCAGGCCATGCCAGATGCCAGGCCTTTTGCACGCAAGTGGGGTGAAGTTTAACCACTTAGCCCGCAGCCCAGGCAGTTATTACCTGGACTTTGGTGCCCATCTTGCAGCACTTCGTCGGCCGTTCGGCTGAACCTGTGCTCAACGGGCTGTGTATTTTGGTCTGAGTCATGAGTTTCCCGCTGCTGAAAGCTGGGCCCACATGTTCCCCCTCTTTCCCAAATAGTGTACGCTGTAGAAGCGGTCCTGACGGCAATAGTTAGGACAAGTTGTCTTCGATGCCGACCGTCTCGCACAAAGTCTGCTTTTTTTTGTTTGTTTGCAAAACTGCGCTCTCGCTGTGGTGCCATGCCAATTTCACGTAGGAAACTGCATTTTTGAGCTCAGAGCCAAACATATTTTTCGATGGCGGCGCCATGCCTCTCGGAGGTTGCAGCTAGGCTTCTCAGGAAGCGTTGCGTCAAGCGCGTTCTTTTAAGAGAAAAATGAGTTTAATGGCATGGTCACGACGCGGAGCCATTGGAGCAAAAAGACAAGTTTTGAAATGCGGGCATCATCGCACGAAACACACGTGTGTTTCAAAGCTGGTCTTTTGTTGCGGTGCCATGTCGGTGTTCGGACCTCTGTCTTGATGGCTCGATTTCATGGCCAGCGCAGCATGTTATACACTGACCTGAAAGGTTTCGTGGCAGGCGCAGCATGTTGATAAAGGTGACTTTGAATATCGTGGCAGAAGCAGGACGCAGCATTTCATGCATCCGCAATAGAGAGAGCGAAGCTTCTGCCGACTCCGGGCTGGTTCCAGAAGATCATCACTGAAGTTTTAGCTGCTGTACGCAAAGTGAAGTTTTGCTAGCTCATCTCGAAAACGTAACTTTTCAGCACGAGAATAGTATGCAAAGACCACTTTCGGAGGTCGAGCAGGAAAACCGCAACGTTCAAGTACGAGAGTGGCGCGCGAAGCGCACTTTCGCAACTCCAGCTTGAAACTCGCAACTTTGAAGCACGAAAGTAGTATATGAAAATCATGAGCACGGCCGTGCAGTTGCCCTCGTACCCCTTGCCATTTTGCGGATTACTTGCTAGAACAGCTTGTTCCAACCCCACCGCGGGGGGGGGGGGTACATGGTTTGCGCTCTCGATTGATCAAGTGTTTTTCCGCTTCAAACACCTGCAGGCTGTGACTAACAGTTGGCGTTGCACAAGAAACACTGTCGCCACTTTGGCAAGAGTCCCTTTCCCCCCACCCACGACGCGCCCACAGATTGGCAGGAGAGATCGACAGCGATGACCACTACAGCCGAGCGCATGCAGCCGTGGACCTGCTGGCAGGGCTCGGCGATTCGAAGGGGTCGATCCATAGCTTCCCTTTAACATCCCATCGGCAAGGGGTCTCTTCTGGTGGCCACCTCCCTAATCTTCCATATTGCCAAGTCAACTAAGGCTTTTTGGTGCCATATTCATTGCTATTGACAAAGCAATTGGGAAATGTCGCTTCGATTCGCTTCGGGCCTGGCGCTAGGCCAAAGCGATGCCCATGATATTGGCATGGGCATTCAAGGAGCCTTGGTTGCAGACGGCGTGTCAAAGGGCCAGGTTCGGACAACTTTGTTTGCGCACGAGCAACGCATCTTGGGCAAGGGGGTACTTGCTCTGCTCTTTAGCACCATAAGCCGTGGTGATCCAGCAAGACCAGCTGTGCTGCTAGTGCCGGTTTGGCTTTGATTTCAGATATTACTTGCAGTGTGGCGCTATCATCCTGTCATGTGGGTTATGCACTGCAACGCGCGGATCATCGTGATCGGAATCTGGGAACATTAGCTGAGGTTTGCCACTTGGGTCATTTGGGTTACTTGGGTCAGGCTTGCGGGAACATTAAAAGCTGCCACTTGGGTGACATGAGTGACTTGGGTTAGTTGGGTCACGCACAACTGATTTCCTTAAAAACAAGGCTAACGATGAACAAATCTAGGCTTGGGGCCGCCAAATGCATTTTTGTAACTACCTGTCAGTCTCCGGTAGGCCCAAATCACGCAAGCGACCCACCCAAGTGACACAAGGGACAACACAAACTACCCGGCTGTGGCAGCAGATTAGAAAGTCCATGTCCCGAAAAGGGCTTCCAGCGGTCGCAGAAGCCGCTGAGATGCAGACTCAGCGGCTCCGTATCACCTTTGGAGATGGGGGGGTGCTCGTCACCCGGGTCCGCGTGTTGTGCGCGTGACCCAAGTGACCCAACCGACCCCAAACGACCCAAGTGTTCCAAGTGACCCAAGCGACCCGAGTAACCCACAAGTCCTCATCGTGTGAGATATTTGCATCCCATGAAGGACTTGGGGGTACAGACTTTTTGACTGTCGCAGCAGCCGCTGAGATGCGGATTCTGCAGCTGCCGTGTCAGCCTTGTGCGCGTCTCCCAAGCGAGTTTGTACCCCCCGGCGCCCATCTGATATGCAGACTTTCCGGCTGTCATGCCGCGACGGAGTCAAAGTCTGTGTCCGGAAGGGGCAAACTTTCCCTCGTCACAGCAGTATTGAGTTGTGTATGCGGCAGTCCTTTCTTGAGCTGCAGGCTGTCCGGCTGCTGCTATGGATCTCAGGAAGCCCCGCGAACGGAACCGTTGAAAGCCGAACCGAAGTCAGGATGCATGCTGCCAACCGTTCGAACCGAAGCCGAAGCAGCATTCATAGCCCGCGTTTCCCCCGCACCGAGCCGAGGAAACCGCTCTTCCCTTCTGACTGCTGTTTCCGAAGACTACAGGACCGCCTGGACAGATTATGCTTTTGCGAATGCAGACTTGCCTTCTTCCGCCACCAGCCTGTATTGCGGCAGAGCAAACCTGCGTCACAACGACCTTGTCTGAAAAACTAAAGACTCCATCGAGAAAAGAACTTGGGAATCGCCATTGCAGCGGGTAGGTCCGTGTCACAAGTGAGAGTTCCAGAGACCAGGCTGTCATGCCAGGTTGTCACACCAGGTCATCCGTCGCCATAAATTGACGCCCGTTCCTGCCACAGACCCGTTGCCCCCCGTTTGAGGCCGTCGTGCCAGGTGGCAGTAGACGAAAACGTCTCAGCGGACCCGTTTGAGACACAGGCTTTCCGCCTGTCATACTGGGTGGCAGCTGAAGCAGAAACAGGGACGTGGGGATAAAGATTTGCACTATTTTGCCATAGGCTCGTCGTTGAAACACAGTTCTCCTCTGACATGCAAGCTGCGTGGCTGTCATACCAGGTGGCAGCGGATTTTTTTTTTTTTTTTTTTTTAAAGTCTACGTGGGGCACAGGGCGTGGGAAGCTTCCGTCAGCGCTATTGTGGCAGAGGAAGTCTGTAGCTTTAAGACCTTGTCTGAGGTACAGACTTTCCGGCAGTCAGAAAAGACTTGCCCTCGTCCGCCACAGATCGTTTTTTTTTTTTTTGGTGGCAGAGCAAATATGTATCTCCGAGCCCTCATCTGAGATACAGACTTTGTGGCAGACTGGCCGACTCGGCTGGTCTAGCCACCCAAGAGAAAGTGATCGAAGTGCGCCAAGTGGCAGCAGCGTATCGAGTATGTGGGTGTTGCACCTAATGTATGTGTGACTGCGTGTGTGTGTGTGTGTGTGTGTGTGTAATGCAAGTCCCTCGCTTTGTTCATGAACGCCTGAGGATGTGGTGCAAACTTTTTTGGCCTGGACTGACCAACCGTTGTGGGATGAGATCATTGTGGCTGTAGTGCTGGCATCCTGGCAGCATTTTCAGGCAGAATACTTTGTTTCTTGCTTGATCCCAGCACCCCCTTTCCCCTGTTTAAAACAAACCCTGCTGATCCTTCACCATGCCATCCTCGCATGTCAACTGCAGCAATAGCATGCCTGATGTGACTTTTTGCAGCCGAGGTAATTTCGGTCTCTGCCATTTCGCACATCCCCCGGGTGGGCCGCGCAAAGAAGGAGCTGGCCGAACATCCGCCCATTGACACCATCGCCAATCGGTACTTGTGCCAGGGCTGCGTGCAAGGTGAGAGGGCTCCGGTTGAGGGAGCCCTGTTTTTTTGGACACCCAACCTGCTTTGCGGGCCCTGAAGCCGAAGACGCAAAGGAGGTCGACATTCCAAAAGAAGCATCTCAGGGACTAAGCCAGGGTCTGAGCAAACTCCCCACACTGCTGGCACAGGTCCTAACCACTTGTGCGCGCACTCATGTCGTTGAGCTGCTTCTGTTCACAAGCGTTAGGTGTGTGAAACATGGATTGAGCTAACAGTTCTTTACTTTTCTCTGTGAGCACTAGAACGCAAGGGGTCGGGAAGCATTGTTGTTTCTCACTGTTTTGCACCTGGTGGGCAATTCCCTGTGTGGGTGGCTGTTTTGCTAGGGTAGGGGGCAGTTCAGCTGAAGCTACTTCTTGTTACGCATCATGTACATGTGCACAAATCAATGAGGCGCGACATCTGTTATCACACACACACTATTCCCACATCTAAAACAGCCTGTGTGTTAAACTGGCATTGCGCGCTTGGTTGTAGTTGTTGCGCTGGAAGCCGGACTTTTTACGGAGCTATACAGCCACACAATCAGAAACTACCTTTTTCCCCAAAGCTGACAGCATCCCGGCTGCCTTTTCTTTCAGCAGGCGCGCACCCACCGCCCGAGTGCCGCTCAAGCCGCGAATTTTCTCATCCCCGGGCAAAGGATCCAACAAGCATGTGACAAGCCGCAGTGCAAAGATTTCACGTGTAGATGGATTCAAGGGACCATTCCATACAACATCAAGGGGGGCATGATCAGGGTCAAATTGGGAGGGACATAGAGGTTCAGCATGTTGCCCGCCGAAACCCACAAACCAACCTTTCCAACGACACATGGAGTTGTTTGGGTCCCTGTTGTTTTTGGGTCCCTGGGGCTAAGGGCACCGTTGGGTCCATCCAAAAGCCCACTGGCGTTGTCTTTGCGTTTGAGAGGGTGCAGCAAGGTTTTACGATGGCAGGGGTCCCGGATGGACACGTTGGGCCAAGTCACCAGTTAGCTCAATAGAAGATCTGATCCCATTCTCCGACATGTGACACAGCCCGCAAATTCGCATGGTTTGGAAACGTTGAGATTGGGGTTCCACCACACACCAGTCGCAAGGAAATACCGTGTATCTCGCCCCTCCGTGTCCATTGAAACATTGGCTGAAGATATCTTTTTGCAAGGTCTTTGCCGTACAATTCCCTGCTGGGGGTGGGCTATGCCATCAATCAAGTCGACTCTTGGCTCTTCGCTAGGTTCCATTTATTGCATTTTTCATTTATTGCATCATTTGCTGAAGCACTGGCTTTAAGCTTTTGGCACATGAGCTTAGGCCGTGTACTTTGTCCAACTTATTTCTCATGCAACTTCGCGGCTTGGATGCAACTTCTGCATCCATTGCAGTATCCTTGCAAGTTTTGAAGCCGCAATTCGTTCTACTTCCGAGAGCTTGTCGGTGCATCAGATTGCTTGATGTGCGCTGTGCTAAATTTTGATGAGGTCAAAGTTGCCAGATGGGGCCGTGAATATTCTGGAGGCTGGCTAGGGTTGATTATCAGGGACGACCACACTGTCGACGAGCGCGCGGTGTCACAAGGTGTCTTTCGAATTGTTAACCTCTCACATCATCCACGGTGGATGGTTCATGTTTTGACCGGCCAGGTGATGGTGCAGATTTTGTACTTTGGACTTATGTCTATTGTAGTGATCAGGCCAGATCGCCAAAGGGTTGTCGCATGTGCGAAACTTAATTATTGCTTCTCAGCTCTCTTTTTTTCTTCTGGGCTTGGAACCCTCTGCTCGAGGGTTCCATGGCATGCCGCTAAAGATGTCCGATTCATTTTCGTATTTGCATGGATCGGCAGGATCGATGCGGCATATCATAGGCGGAGACTGCGCAAGCAAAGATTAGAGAAGCTCCTTGGACAGAAGGCTTCACCGCATCTCAGGCCTTTCTCGCAATGCTGGATTGGCTGTCAGAACTGAGTCGCTTGTGGAAATGGTTCTTTGTTTCCAATACTCGGCATCCAAGGGACGGGGAAGAATTTGAGCAAGACTTAAAGGAGGCAGAGCTGACCAAATTTGAGATGGAAGCTTGGCCCGCAGAGTGTTTCCTGGCCTCCCTTTCAACATCCTAACATAGGGGTTCCCCAATTTCAGGCTGAGAGGCCTCAGTGCAGGCTGCAGGCGGGCTGCAAGAGTGAAAGTGCGCTCACTGCCGAGCCCAGGAACTTCTTGCAAGCAACCTGGGCGACACGGTGACACACTCTCTGGCTTTCGTTTATGGCTGGGGCGTCAGCGACACACTCAGGCACGGTTGCACGGCTTTGTGGGGTGGGTGTTGTGTGGCTAGGCTGAGTTGCACTAGGCATGTTGTAGGCTTAGGGCAACTGGCAGTAAATCTGAGTAAGCCGATGTGCTGAATTGGCTTTCACCTCAGGGTGATCTACTACCCTTTCTTTATGGGCCGCTCGGCAAGCGCCCGGTGCACTCCGGGCTGCACCCGCGTGTGGAAACCGCAAACGGTAGGCTGCCTTGCACGCCTTGGCCCTAAGGCTGCGACACCTACAAAGTGCGCCTTTTTCTGCAAAGAAGTGGCCAAAGGAAATGGCCCGGGCAAAAGACGGCAACAGGCACTGGCACACATCCTTTGAGTTGGTAGCGTCTATTGCTGTGGCCCACCGGGCAGCCCGTGGCACAGAAAGGGGGACGGATGCAAGTCAAGTTGATGACACGCAGACTGCACATCTTGTGAGCCAGATCCCTGGAACGTACGTTTCGCTGTGAGGTGCAGCTACCAGCAAACTTGGTACTTCGGCATCATTGTCACAGCAGTCCTTGGAGGCTCAGCCTGAAGGGGTCAAGCTGAATGGTGCTCTTGAGCCCAGCTCGATGGCAAGTGACTGGACAGGGGCCCTCAAGAGGCACGTATCCATAAATCGTCGTGATGTCCAATTTGGTAACAACAACTCTGAACGGCGGGTCTCAGGAGGGCTTGAATCCTTTCAGAACTCCCATCCAAGGATCATATATCAAGACACTGAGTGCCTCGGCAATGATGGAAGGGCAGGTCAGCTTTCCACACATATTCATGCTGCTTTGCCAGTTCCGCATTGATTCTAGTTGTTGTCATGGACCAGAAGTTGTGCATTTGGTCCAGCATTTGGCTAAGGCTTTGCTGATTGGGGAAAAACAGCACGTTGTCAATGGCCTGTGCAGCCACCAGATGTTTTTGGCCGCCGTCGGGCAATGAGGGCAGCCGGGTTCATCCCACTAGCTTTCCGCTGCCACACATCTTCCTTAAGGGACATTTGTTGAGAGCAGCCGAGGCCTGCAAGAGTACCGCCGTCCAGAGAGCAAATCCTACCGCACCTTGATGATCAATGCTGCTTGGCGAGGGAGGTTCGGGGCTTCCGAATAAGTCTTTCGATAGGGGTGCTCCCAACCACAAGATTTCTCAGACCTACTTTCGGGATTCATGAACGGTTCTCACAGGATAAATTTTGAGGAGGCGAAGAAACTCAAGGCTCGCCAACGTTGAGGTATTGCAGGTCCAGGTTTGCATGCTCTTCAGCTGTCAATGATTAAGCCCGCGGGCCTGGTTTGCCTGGGAAGGGAAATTGGAAGGATGGCACAGTCAATGCAATTGGCCAAGAGTGGCAAGACCCCCCCTATGAATCAACCCCTGTTTCTTAATTTGGGGGCGCCCATGGTTTTGCGGGTTCATCACTTTCGGAGGGGAGCACCCCCATATTCATTGGAGAGGATCGTTAGGACCAAGCCATCAGACCCAGTCCGCGGCTCCTTGAGCTTAGGCTATGTCGCTGACGGTGGGCTGGGCCTGGATGAATGTGTGTGAGGTTACATCAAATTTCTTCGTGGATCAGTGGAACTCTGTGCATCCAAGTGTTTGGACCAAAACCTTCACTTACCTGATCCTGCTGGTTTTCCTGTACGCTGTCATGGTGGAGATCTACTACCAAATCTTGGATGCGCCCTGGCCGAATTTGTGTCTTCAAGAATGCAATTGGGAGTGCTTCTTGAGTTTCTTTCGTTGGCCCTGTGGGTTGAGGCCCCGCTTCCGGAGGGCAGAAGCAAAGTACCGTTCTGACAAGAAACCAATCCCTCCACCCGCCTCCCTAAGCCAAGGGGCATTTTCAGCTTCCTTCTTTCAATTTGGGCTTCCGGAGAGCCAGTTGACAAGGCAACATTTGGAGAGTACAGGGATTTCTAGTTGTCGCATTGGAATATCTATGTACGCTTGGACCGGTGTGTTGCCCTGGTGTGTTAACCAACTTTAGAGGCCGCATGGAACAACCCATCATAGGATGGAATGACTATATATCAAAGCCTGAAGGTTTGGCCTTCACCTTTCCGCTTTTTCCCTCCTTGCCCTTCGCTCCCAGGGTACTTTACTGCTTGCCGCTGTGAGGAGCTTCGCTACATCAAGCGTGAGCGCAACGAGTTTCACGCAGTAAGGGGCCTAGGGGGCAGGGGCAAGTAAACAGCTACCAGATGTTGAATTTGGCATGCTCTCGTGTCCCTTCCCTCGTTTTGGGCGAGATTTCTCAGCATCAATTGGAAGACCCGGATGGCAATTGGAAATTTGCCTCGTTGCCGGCGTAACATGATACCAAGCTGACTCCCTCAGAGTTGGACACGGTATGTTCAGGACCAACTTCCATTCAAGTTGGCGTGTTTGTGTGACGTGTCACCACTGGATTCGTTTTGACATGTCTCCGTGCTTCAGGCCGTTGAGGGAGCTGCCCTGGGCCCTACTTTTCAAATGCAATCAGACCCTGACCCGACCCTGAAAAGACAAAACCGGATGCGGTGAGGATGACAACTGAACAGAATCTATTCCATGCAACAAATACAGTGCTAGGGTTATCAGTTGTTGAGCTGGCCCAGAAAGGGAAACTCAATTTTGACCACCGCTAAGAGGAACCTTGCCCAACGTGGCTTTTGTGTGTTTGGGGGCCCCCTGGATCAAGGGTTTTCCGTTGTACCTTTACTTTATTGCCGCCGAATTCGGCTTACACTTTTCTGCCCAGCAGGGGAATGGCCGGTGGATTCTAGGTCCCATCCAACGAAGAGGCTCACATGCCATGCTGAAATCTTTTGAACATGTCCCAAAGACGACGTACCTGGGAACAATGATCCAAACCAGGAAGACCTGAGAAGTTGGTTGGACCCTGTGCCTGTTATGGCTATTCTCGTGTGTGTTTGTTGTTGAGGGTGCCCTTTTGAGGGTTGGTTTAGGCGCAAACCCGCCTAAGCAGCGCACTGCCCAGAATCCCGGAATCAGGGTCAGCGCATGGGTGTTGGCAGGCCTACCCAGCGGTGCCGGACAGCATTCGCCAGTATGATTTGGAGCAACGGCGTGAAATTTCCGGACTCACAGGACCCGAGAGGGCGAATCGCTTGGTTGAAGAGAACAAGTTGTGTTTTGTTCCTTAACGGCTGGCTGGCTCGCCGGCTTGTTGGTAGCCAGGTTTCTGTTGCTGGTTCAGCTGGAGGGCTTCAGCAGCATGGGTTTCGCCGTGTCAAGTGTGGCCACGCTTCATTTAGGACCTGGTTCAGGGTTCGGGCCTGGAGCCTTGTTCGAGATTCCACCACACCGAGAAGGAACAACCTGCTGGTAGCTTTGATGATTGAGACAATCGTGCATCGTGGTTGGGTCGGCCGGCTGCTTGGATCCAATTGTTTCCTCAGGCTCAAGATGCCGAGTCGCAGGTTGATGAAATCTGGGCCACGGTTGGAGTGTTACATCATTTCACAGGTCGTCATGTGGCAATTACAGTTCGAATCCAGCCTGGCCTTTCTGACAATGAAAGGGTTTCAAATCTTGCAGCTTCAGAGCAAGCTCAAAACAGTGGCCATTCCCAAACTTAAGATGTTGATTGCAACCATTTTGTTCACCCACGCCTTGGCCCACGTTCTAAAAAAAAGCCCCATTTGGACAGACTGGTTCGAAGGCGCAGCAAGGACCCTGGCATATCGTGCTTTTTGCTTCGCACTCCAGGATTGTGACCAGGCCCAGAAAGAGAGAGCACAGGAAGCGGGCCGAGGTCCTGAGCTGCTGGGCTGCGATAACTGCACGTAGCTGCCTAGTGTGCAAAGCTGCGTTCGCTAAACTCGCGACGGGATGTGACCTTATGTTTAGCCATGACACCCGAAGATATCGAAAGGATTCAAAAGGCTAGCGTTTGATTGTGGGGTCAACTGGCCACGAACGTATCGCAAGGAGGATGCAGGCATTGCCCTGAATTTGGCCACAGTTTGGGGATGGTCCCTCTTGCAATGTCCCATTAGTCGAGTTTGCAATATCGAAAACCACGTTTTTTTTCTTCCCCTGCTCGTTTTACAGCATCTCATTTGCAGTGCCGAGTTTAGCTTAGCGTTTCTTGTATCGCTCGCCACTGTGTAATTTGTAATTTGCACTTCACCGCTTTGTAAGCCCGCCACAGCGCGGGCTATCCTCCTTTCACATCATGCAAAGTAGTTCTTGGCATCAGGTCTCACCCCCAGCGCATGCCCTGCTGGGCTCGCACTAGCCAGCTGGGTCTGTGTATCACACAGGGTTTGGCACCCGAGCACCGCGTGGTTGGACAGGAAACCTGGAGGAACCTGATTTTTGAGGGGCTAAGCTCACCTTGCTACACAGCCAGCGGAGCGTTTGCAGAGTTGTCTGCGTAGTCAATGTGAAGCATTGAATTTTCATAGCAGCCAATGGGCTGGAAGAGACTCCACTGTCCAGGTTTTGCAAACTATGCCAGAAAAAGGTCTGTCTTTGTGGGCCACGTGTGGGCTTTCTCTTAGCCTGCATGCTTGCACCCAGGTCGGCGGCCGCCACCCAGAGCTGGTAGTATCGGCCATGAGCCGTAGTATAAGTTGACCATGGACATTTGGGGCGAGAGTCCCTTGGCTTTGGCAATGAAGGCCCCCCCAATTAATAGATATTGTTCATCACAGACCTCAAATCTCCAAAAGCAAGAACGCAACTAGCCAACAACAAACCAACTCTAAACCAGCACATGTCCCGCTCAGTCGCCACAGGGGACATTTTGGAACCAATACTAAACCAATCCTGCATCGATACAACAAAAATATGTTTAACAGGTTTGAACCCAGCACAAATCCGACAAAACAGCACTTCCGCACTCGGAAAGCTTTTTTGTTCTCCTCAGGAAACGGGGTGACCCCCATAAGCACGAGGACCATGACGGTAACCCCGATACCCAGGCGACTATGTTTTGTAAGTGGAGGGAACGGATGTTTGACGCACAGTGTAGCCAGGCCAGCCCAAGGATAGAAGTGGGGGAGGCGGTACACGATCTAATCAGGGATTGTGTGTAATACAATCAGGTGAAGAGAGCCTAGCGAAGCTCAATATGTTTCACAGGGCAAGAAGCCAGGTTTGAAAATCCGCAGTATGCAGGGAGCTGCTGCAAACCTTAGCGCGGCTTTCCTGTGTTTTTCCCATCGCTTCTGATTCTTGCGACCGCCTGGGTACTTACCCCCCTTCTCAAGTTGCAACGTGTGTGCTTTATTTGCGCCGACCGTCAATCCCCCAGTCATTTTTTGCTCATTCCAACGTAGCTTCGGTCTGCACTGTCAAGCAAGACCAGGATCTTGTCAGAAAGGGTCGTTGCCGCCGCCTCAATCCCGTCTCTCGGCCCATGGTCGCCGTGTTTTGCCTTTTTCCTCTGACCGGGTAAGTCCCTTTCAGCTAGGTATTAATTTTGCTTTGACATTCCACTGCCGCACGCTTTCTGAAATCTGGGGCTTACGCACAATACGCACAATGCGCACGTCGCAGTATGCTTGTATGTTAACTTACTCTTTGGTATAATGTATTTGTTTATTTGTTACGTGCGTATTTGCCCCAGGATGCTTCCGTCAAGTGTGTAGCAAAGGCACGTGAGGGGAAGCGTGCTTGGCCTCGCCCATTGCAGGGATCGAGAAAGCCGAGGAGATGGGCAAGGCCCTGCGATGTCGGGGAAGCGCGAGTGCGTCGTGATGGGCTTGGCAGTTGATAAGTTACATTCTGGAGCATCCCAATGTTGCCTCCACGACATGCCCTCGTGGAGTTGCTTTGCGGCTGAAGTTCATGGCAGGCGACTGTCAACTTCAAGGGCTCAGGCCATGTCGAGGGGTGGGAAGGGCCACGAGCAGAAGTCATCAGCTAAACCAAAGTCGCACGACACCAAGTCCTCACCTAAAGGGGGACCACGCGGCCATGCTCACCTCTTGGATTGGACTTTCCCAAGAACTGTGAGCCACATGACGCCTGCTTGTGCTTGAACATGTGCCATTCATTTGTCGCTTCCTTGGTTGCATGGCAAAGAGGTGATATGTAATCAGATCAGAGGACAGTACTTCAACCTCGAGTGTGCGAATGCCTCGTTGGTCCAGGTTTCCTCCCGCGGATAGACCTCTCTCCGAAAAGCGCGGGCACCTTGACTGCATGGCAATATTCGGCCCACATTGCGCCAGAGTGGTGGGAAATGCAAAAATGGTCCAATGGTTGCTTGCAGGTGGTGCAGACGTCGTTGCAGGTGCTGGGCCTGTGCTGGGAGTTGTCGGAACTTTGACATTCATGAGGTAAAGTCCCATTTGGTGCACTTGTAAGCTTTACATCCCCACAAATGCACTAGGAGGGGAGGAGGCCTGAATTTGCATGTGACAGCTGAGCTGAGTGTGGCTTGCTCATATTGCAGATTTAATTGAGTGTGAGCAGGCGCAACTTTCGTAGTAGGTTTTTGGGGCTAGGTGGTTTTTACTGTATCTCAGTCAAATGCCAGGCTGGCGGGTCGACACCTGGCGATTGAAGGCGTGCGATGGCTGAAGAGCATTGCTCCTAGCAGGCGTAGGCTTGTTTCTTTGTGGATGCGTGTTTGTTTGTTGGTTTCTTTATATTTCTTTCTTTGTTTGCTTGCTTGCTTGCTTGCTTGCTTGCTTGCTTGCTTGCTTGCTTGCTTGCTTGCTTGCTTGCTTGCTTGCTTGCTTGCTTGCTTGCTTGCTTGCTTGTTTATGTGTTTGTTTGTTTGTTTGTTTGTTGGTTGGTTGGTTGGTTGGTTGGTTGGTTGGTTTGTGTCTTTGCTTATTTGTTTGTTTGTTGTGGGTTTCTTTTTGTGTGTGTTTCTTTCTTTATTTGTTTGTTTCTTTGTTTGTTCGTTCCAACACCCCCCAATGTCTTCCGTTTGGACAGCACTTGGGGTTTCGGACATGGGGGAAAGCAGTGGGGGGCCGATTTGTTGTTTGTGCGTTTGTAGATTTGTGTGCTTGTGTGTTTGTGTTTGCTTGATTGATTGTGTTTGATTTTTGAGTGAGTGTTTGCGCGTTTTCGTGTTTGTGTGTGTGGGTGTGTTTTGTATCTTTGTGTGGTTGTTTGTTTGTCTGTCTGTGTGTCGGTCTGCCTGTGTGTCTGTCTCTTTGTCTGCCTGCCTGCCTGCCTGCCTGCCTGCCTGGCCTGCCTGGCCTGCCTGGCCTGGCCTGCCTGGCCTGGCCTGCCTGGCCTGGCCTGGCCTGCCTGCCCTGCCTGCCTGCTTGCCTGCCTGCCTGCCTGGCTGGCCTGCCCTCTTTTTCTGTCTGTTTGTTTGCCCGCCTGCCTGTCTTTCTCTTTGTCTGTCTTTCTGTATGTATGTCTGTCAGTCTGTCTGTGTTGGTGTTTGTGTTTGTGTTTTTGCATTTATTGTTGCTGCTTTGCTTGCCTGCCTGCCTGCCTGCTTGCTTGCTTGCTTGCCTGTCTGCCTGTCTGCTTGTCTGCTTGTCTGCCTGTCTGCTTGTCTGCCTGTCTGCTTGTCTGCCTGTCTGCCTGCTTGCCAGCCTGTCTGTCTGTCTGTTGTTCTGTCTGTTTGTTTGTTTGGTTGTTTCTTTCTTGGTTTGTTTGCTCGCTTGCTTGGTGTTGTGTGTTTTTGTTGGTTTTATTGTTTTTGTTCTGTTTTGTGTCTGTGTACAGCAGACCATGTGGTTGTCAAGGGCGCCCTAGAGGCCCCAGTCCTAAACCTTGCAAGAAGTGGAAGCTTAGATTGCTGTGCCGAAGCTGAGCCTATGTTCTTTGTTGGAGTCAAAAGGCGCTTAAGGCTAATCAGGACTGTCGGCAAACCTGCCCTGCAGGCTTCCTGAGTGCGGTCGCGGCTGAGGGGAGGCTGTAGGAGTGTGTCAAAAAGCAGGGCAATGTTCTGACGAATGGAAGTGCGAGCCAAAAGAAAACTCGGAAGGACTTGACACATTCCCAAATGACTCGAAGTGTAAGGGGCCCTTGGCCTCTTGCAAGAGTTGGGTTCTTGGCCCGGTTCGGGCCAGCATGCTATGGCCAGAGTCCCTGAAGCTTGTCAGAAGTGCTCCACGTTTTTGTTGCAGGGTGCTTTCCTTTTTTGGTAGATGTCCCTTGCCTCACGAAGGAAAGTGCCTTTGGTTGCAACATGCTCGACACAAGCCTAGCTTGCTGCATGGAGTTCATGCTAGGGAGAAGATGTTGCAATAAGAGCCATTCTGGTATCGATATTGTTGCAATGGACACGGGCCATTGGCTGGCTCATCCTCAGTATGCTTGCCACTGAAGTTGTACGTGTGACTCTCTTCCAGGCCAAGAGATATTAGGGTCAGTGGGAAGACGCTGCTCGGGCGGACGCTCTGAAAGGATGTCCGTCCGCAGCGCTTCACTCACAAGCATAGGAGGCGTCGCCCCTTATGAGGGTTGCTGTGACGGTGGCAAATAGCCATTCTGCAGACCCGCCATATTGCAAGGGCAACGCTTGGACTTGCGTATCTCACTGAATAATCGTTTGCGACCCTACATGTTGTGGCTATAAACATGTTGTTGCAGAAACGCCGAGCTGCCCATGTGCCCATGTGCAGGAGTTTCATCTTTTGCAGCTTGCTTACCGCAAGATGCGGACCTTTTACACCTGCCCTCGCTGCTGCACTGTTACCGACAGAAAACGGACAGACACGGTTTGCGTGCATGCAGCTTCCTTTGGTTGACTCCCGACTCTCTGATGGTCGGCACCTTTTGAGCTTGCATTCCGAATATTCCGATATGTCAGAGGATTGCGGCTTAGAGCCATTCCCTTCAAGCCTTTCTCCGGATATTCGGCGCATTTTCAGGTGATGCCTGCATGCCGCGTGCTCGGCTTCGCTCAGGATTTGTCAGCATTCCGGGCTCTGGCGCTGTCGCTGTATCTAGCTCAGCCATCGGCTTTGTGGCGTGGAAGGCTTTTGTGGGCAGAAACAGCTATTGGGATGCGTCTTTGTTTCGGGTAGAGAGAGCGAGCATTTGTTAGGTTTCGGGCTTTCTGACAAACCTGGCTGAGAGCTGACCCAGAATCAATGCTCCAGCTTGAAGAGGTTTGGCCGAATGTTTTGTGTGCGCTTTGAACAGTTGGTGCCCTTGTACGCGCATCGGAGTTCAATCCAGCCCAAACTGCGCGCCAACCCAAACCGCCGCAAGAGCGACTTGAGCTGGGATAAACGATGTCAGGGTCCTGAATGTGATTTTGGGGGGCGCCCACAGTCTTGGGAACGTGCTCAAGCGCAAGCACAAGCAAGTGGCACAACTGACCATTCAAACACCTGCCGTTACTTACAGCCCGAGTCTGGCAGTGAACACGTTTGGCGCTGGTTGGGTGCTGTGAGTTGTTTGAAGCCCCAAGCCCAGGAAATCCTCGTGCGGGCATCGCAACGTCTTCTCTTCCTGGCACCCGGCTTAGATGTCTCGATCGAGGCGTTGTGGAACATCTGTAGGGAATTGGCAGAGGCGGCTGTTGTTGTCCAAAGATGACTCCCCGGATGAAACTGGGATCTTTGGGCCCTTGGAGGAGTGAATCACGATAGAGAAGAGACTCCTTTCCGATTCGCAGGCTGGATTGAATCCTGCGCTAGGCACGCCGAAGAGGCTAGACGCAACTCGCAAACCAGCCGTTTTGCTGCATGAATCAAGGCTCCGATCCTTTGCCTCCACAACAAGTCTGCTTCTCAGTACAGGTGCCAGGAAGAGGTCAGGGATTGATGCACCCATTGCTGATGAAAGCTGAAATTAGTGAGGGGGGTTGGCAGCAGGGTTCCCAATCACTGGTTGAGGGCATGCGCCACAAGAATCATGAAAGCAAACAAACAAAACGCTCATTCCAATGCAAGGGTTACTCAGAGAGAAGGGAAGACCCCTGTCCGGGCTGAGGTTCCTCCTTCTTCAAAGCTGTGCCAATGCTTTTGCAGAATTCAACAGGATCGAAACAAACTGGGAATGACCATTTGATGAGAACGTTAGAGCAGACTAGAAGAGAGTGAGAGGCCCGTTCTAGAATTTGGCAGCACGTTGCTCGTTTGCAAAAAGTGTGCATTTTGTTCGTCTGGGAGACGTCCAAAAGGTTCGTGTATTATCGTGTATTCAGGTGTGAGGGGGAAGACCTTTTTTTTTCCCTCTGCTCTCGCGATAGTGTTGTGTAAGGGTGGTTTGCTGTCTGAAACACGCAAAGCGCAGCCTGAGGATTGCAGCACAACAAATACGTCGCTGCAAAAGGCACTCCCCGGCAAGAAGCAGCTTGTTGGCTTGTTGGGGTTTTGAAGTTGTTGGGTCCTGAGCACAACTTCCCAGCTTGATTTTCGGTAATGTTTGGAGTATCCGCAACAGTCTTGCGAAAGTCGATGGGCCTTTCCTGACATGTGGGTGGCCAATCGGTCCGCTCCTGTGCTGCTGAACTGCTTTCGAGCTTCGGCTGCGGAAGTTTACTTTTGAGTAGATGAAAATAGCCCTCCGCAATGGAGGCCGCGAAAGTGTTTTTCGCGAAGATGGCATGTCCGGGAACAAGGAATTTCAGACAGCCGCCATTTCACCTTCCCCCAACATGAACTTCCGGTACCTCCAAGAAGTTGAAAGCAAGAGACAAATAAATGCGGCTCCTGGGCCACAAGCACGAGGTGTACCAGGCCCAAAGCCACCAGCCGAAAGACAGCTTCAGAAACTGAGTTGGCCCCCCTTTTGTTCTACTGAGCCACCATCAAAACCCTGGCAGATGAAGGTTAGTAAGGGACAATCCCAACCATAAGCAGCCGCGGCCGCCTTCTTAATTCTTTACATGGTTCTGGGTCGACCACTTTAGCACCGGGTTTGGATTATGACTCACCTCATCCTTAGCAAGTGGTTCTATGCATGCTTCTTGGACAGGCGTCCTAAATCAGCGCCTGTTGGGGTGTCCACTCGGCACGGGCCTCAGCGAATCCCGCGAACCGGGCGCCGATGCCAAGGACCGGGTTCAACTTAACCGTGCGCTTCGTGGAAGCATCGCAGCATGAGGCCCGAAACGGCTCCAGCTACTAGGACGTGAGAAGAATATCGTGGGCGTTTTTCTGTGAGTTGTTTTTTTTTTGGGGGATTGAAAGCAAAGGCAAACCGCCAATTTGAGGGGTCCTATAAACTCATTAGGTGAAAAGCACTGAAGACCCCCGGTCCATCCATTGCGAACAAAGGTATCAGGTACCATGGTGCTGCTTTTGCTTGTTTTTTTGCAATACCATCCTAGCCGGGATCCTTAGGGTCCGCCTTCAAGTGGCAATTGTTCATAGAACGGCTGTGCAAGCCTTCAGCCATCGTGATTTAATAACCCCATGCTATTAAGAGGATGGGCAAGTCTCCCTTCACGCGGGCCTCTCATGGTGAGAGGAGTGCCATGTTGGGTTGCTACGGGGCTTTCCCTTTGCATTTGGCATGGAAGGTGTAGCTGGCTTTAGGACAAGCGCTCTGCATCTTGATGTGCTGAAATAATTTGCTCCTCACACAAGAAGCAGGAGTTCATAGACTGCTGTGCAAAAAAACAAAAAACAAACTCAGACCTGAGCACCAGTGTCCAGTGCAGCGGCATCCTGTTGTCCCATTTTGTTAGGGTGGGGCCCCTGTCAAATGGTCAGCCCGATTGGGCCAGGTGCTGATGCTGCATGTGCCGAGCACGGCGGTTTGCGATGCGGATCGCTCAGTAGAATGTTATTTGTTGAGGCATTGTTCGCTTCGGATCGTTTCGGTGATATGTAGCCTTGAACAAATCAGGCACTCCATGCAAGCAACGCTTTGCCAACTAAGGCCTCCATAGTTGGCCAGAATGTGGTGCCGGAGGACCCTGTCATGAACTGGGCGTTTCTTGCTGCACGTGCGGCCACGAGCGAATCGGACCCTGTGGCCTTGTGGGTTTTCTGGCTTTGACCTGTGTCGAGTCATCAAATTCCGGAGGGTGTAATTGAACAAATGACCTGATGCCGATGGTTAAGTAGCGGGCGCCCCATTGTGTGCAACCGGTTCCATTCAAACAAAATGGGGGAGACACATATATATATATATACATAAGTCAGCCTGCGGTGCAGGTGGTTGAGGCGTTGCTGTTTCCCTGGTTTGGAGGCACTCAACAATCCCTCACACAAAAGCGGGCGCAAAGCGCTGTCTTTCGCATTTGAAAGGACCGGGTGCCTGAGCCACTGCCAGGCGCGGATGGCATGCCATGATTGGGGATCCATTTCTCACGAAGGGGGGCAGCAGGACCAAAAGGCACCAAACCACGACTAGTCCTAGGTTTTCTGGAGTTCACCCAAATCACAGTCAAGAGGAAGAGCTCGCAGGCGTGCAACCGGCATGGAATGCCTTATCTGGAGTGAAGCGCAGGTGGCGCGGCTGGTGCGGACGCCGGCGGCTTGCTTGCTGTGCCCTTAGAGTGAGGGCCAGGACTTGTTGCCAATGGTGATGTCTTCTGCTCGGCTCCAGCAATGGCAGGTCATGCCGGTGTAAGCACCATTGTTGACATCAATGTGGACACCGACGTGGGGGCAACCCCTGTGTTTACAGGGGTGGATTAGTCACCGTGGCATTCATGGTTGAAGGACAAAACAGCACCCGCTGACGGCTTGCAAGGTCCTGCCGCCCAACAGCATTGGAGCTGCCTTTGGCTCGGGTTTGGTGGTGCAGCGGTGCAGGGGAATCCTGAAAGAGATCGCTGGAGAGGTTCACCATCTTACTGTTTGGCTTCCAGAACGCCCATAGGTCCCTTGCAGCCACGCATCAATCCACCGCCGATTGGCATTATTATTATGTTTGTATTCGTCGGACGTTGGACCATGACATCCTGCGGTTTCTGAAGACATGCCTCAGGTGAGTGGACCTTATTCAAGCCCAGCTTGCTCTTTTTGAGAGTCTCTGCGGTCCTAACCTCCACGTCACCTGGGCACTGGGCATCCTTTCACGCTCGCCGAGGTTCCCGTGCCCGCCTTTGCCGCCAGACAAAGTCGAGGAAGCCGGGCAAGAAATGGCAAGTGGCCGACACAAGTTTATTTTGCTATGGATTGAAACCGGGAACCACCTGATGATGCCCACGAAAGGTCCCTCATTTACCTTTAATTTGAGAGGAAGCTCAGGTGTTTGTGGCCCGCTTTTTGCAGTACTCTTTCTTTTCTTTCTGAGGAGCAGCGTCAGCTTGGCTCACGGCGCTGGCCTCAAGCTTGGGCCAACGACAAAGCCAGCGTGAGCGAGCCGTCATGGCGGCGCACCGAGGTGCAACTTGCGGATGGCTGCAACAGCGCGTGGGGCCAAGTGCGCAGGAGTCTCCAGTTGTTCCTTCACACATACTCTAAATTGGAAGCAACGAGGCCGCAAAGTCTAAAGCCTTGATGCAAAGGGGGGGCTTCGTGTCCGGTGCTTGTTGACAGGCCATACGGTAAGCCTTGGATTCTGGGCTTAGAAGGCTGGGATATTCGGCCTTCACACTATACTTCTAACAAAGCCAGCGTTAACAAGCACCCTGATTTTCCTCGTACCTCGCAGGTTCAGTCTCGCGGATTACCTCCGGCCTCAGTGCTCAGCCCTGTTTGTGGCTCGCGAGGCTCCTTGCCAGGTGGGATCACACCTCAGCCCTGAGCTCAGCGTTTGTGCCTGAAAGCTGGCTTCGCCAGCCAACCGCGGCGCCCGCGCTCACCTTCATGGACAAATCTGGACCACCTCTCTCTTTCGCAAGAACTCCCTTGGATGAGATCAATGCCCCACAGAAAAGTGGGAGCAACCCTGTGTGGGGTTGGTGATATTCAAAGTGGAGGCATGTGAACATCATGCTTCAGGTAGAAGAAGCCACTCTACATCTTGGAAACCATGGCAAGAATTATGTTGTATTCGAGGATGTGGCCATGGGCCAAAAATTAAAAACCATCAGCTTGCTCTACCAAGTTGTTCAGCGGCAGTGTTTGTTAGTTGCCAGTTGGTTTCTCGGTTTGGATTACCTCAAGAGGTGCATGCTGCTTTGTCCCTCGATGAAAAACACCGGTGCCTCGGAAGGAAGCCAATCGTATGCCCGTTGAAGTGTTGCCTGTTGTTTGACCGTTGCCTTCTTGATATAATTTATTGTTGTCACTTCCGCAGGATGCAATCTCTTCATGCTTTCTTTGCTCATCAACGAGCTTGTACTGGAAAGTGAGAGCAAGGGGAGCCACGCTTGTCAGAAAAAGCAAGTTGATTTGTTTGAGGGAGGCTCCGCGGAAGCCGTTCAGTATGCAAAGCTGGGCCCTTACCGATACCTTACCGAAAGAAGCATGCTTAGGTTTCAAGAGTATGAGACGTGGACCGGCCCGTTTCTTTGATTTTTTGTTTCGTGGAAGCGTGGCGAAAGCCCGCCACCAACAATACCCCGGAATAAACAACTTGGGGGTGTCTTCTTTTGAGACAACCGTACGTTACCCCCACTTGCCAGAGAGGCCGCAAGGCCCCAAAACCGAGGCACGCGGCTGATCATGTGCGGCCCACTCTCCCTGGTGGCAGAGCACGGGCCCTCAGAAACCTTGGGAAGCAATATCGTGCAGATGGCACAGTCCGCTCGAGCGGGGGAATGAGGATAGATGACGTATTGACAAGCCGGCCAGATGTGGGTGCGGAAAACCCAAAGCAAACCACCGTTTGTTTGGAAGGTTCCCCTATTTTGAGACAAATCCCAAGCAGGGACAGCTGTTCCCCAAGTACTTAGCCGTGACGAAGGCTAGAGCAGACATGGCAACATCGCCAAACACAGGGGGCAAAGACATTTTTGTGCGGCGGTCTCATTGATGTGGAGGCAAGCAGTGCTTTGAAGAGCCACGATTGCTCGATGGTTGCTTGATGGCTGCTGTGAGCAGAGTCAGCAAGGCCGCAAGCAAGAGCAGCCAGAGCCTTAACTTGTTTCCAACCTGCTGCGGGGTGCTTCGTGTCCATGCTTTATGTGCTAGCTATGTGGCAAAGATTGCATTTTTGCAGGTCAACTACTCATGTAGGTATGCAACATCTGATTGAACAGCATGACCCTGCGGTTCACTACATTTCACTACCATCTCACAGATGCCACTGGACTAGATAGGGCGATCATCGGTTTGTTGATTAGCTCCTTGCGCAAGGGATCGCTGGCGAGCACTATCAGTTTGCAACCAGCACTGGTCGAGGCCTCGGACTGGCTAGTTCTCATGGCAGCATGCTCCAGAATCGCACGCGCCTGTCTCGTTTGTCGCTTCATTGCGAGGTCTTCGTGAATGCCTTGCCGATAGGACTCTGCTGCTGGGCATGCCATGATGTCGACCTTTAGGGGGGCTGGCTCATCCACAGGTTTGTTTTCTTCGTGCTCCGTTGAAAGCAGGATTTTTTCAGGCCTTGTCCCCTATGATGGCCAGGAGAGTTGACCTTGCGCTGCACCCCGGTACTGCACTTGGAGGATGTTTTTTTATGCTTGATGGATGGAAGAGTGGTGGGCGTTGTTCAGTGAAGTTGATGTTTTCTCCCTTGTTTTTGCCGGGTTTGCTGGAGCACATCAATCAAGGGAAAGGATACGTTAGCCAGGCTTGTCGAATTATGTTTGCCCCGTACTTTGTGCCGGCTGAAGGGGACAGCATGTTCCCAAGCACGGTGACTAGGCATACCTGTCATCGAAGGATTGGCCTTATCGGCTGCAAACACGCGCAGTCTCCTGTTTCCCTTTTCAATTTTGGCGGGCCCCCACCAAAACTGTTCGACCCCAGAGGGAAGCCCTGGGCTGCAAACTAGCTGGAGAGAGCGCAGGCCAAAGAAGAAGGCTTCGCCATGTCCTACCAAGTTGTTCGTAGTTCCCGGGTTTCATTCGCTAAGGCCTCTTCAGAGGACTGGCAGGAGATCGTCATGCCAAAACTCTCCAGGTCTGCCTGACTGTAGGCACTGGGTGCCTTTTTTGAAAGGGCACCCTCGTTTGGGTTTTTTGAAAGGAAAACCACAAACATTTGTTGAGAGTTGCCCATGAGAGAACCGCTCGGGCTCGGCCAATTCGATGGTCTGCGTGCCCCCTGAAAGCAGCAAGCGCAACTGCTTCAGGTGTTGTCATGTTCTTCTGTGGGTTTCAGAAGAATGCACGAGCTCGTGCAGTGCAAGCAAGCGTGCCAGCCTAAGCCCACTCAAATCCGAAAATCGACCCTAAATCAGCCTACCCTCACCCTTAACTGACAGCAAACCTGTCCCATACAAGCGTTAGACCGACAGCTGGGGTGCGGTTGTTCCATCAAGAAGCCAAGCTGCCAGCACGAACGTGATTCGAGGTAACATGATTTTTCAACAAAGAGCAAAGCGGCTGCCCCCCCCCTTCCCCTTCCGGCCCCCAGCTAGATGTGGCACGTTGGCCAGGCGCAACATCCACGTGGTTGACAGCTTGGTGGAGGCCGGAAATGCGCCGTGTGCCAAGGACTATTCCCCCGACCACGCACTTAGAAACCCAGGAGGCCAACAGCCACAAAGTGACGCAGAAGAAGTGTCCATTTTGACGGGATGGGAGGCTGCGGCTTATGCGATATAGCTACTGGGACATGCCTTCAGGCTTGTGGCGATGCCTGCGTGCTTCTCGTCCCTTACCCTTCACCCCTCACCCCTCACCCCAAAGAGCCATAATGTTGACCTATGATTAATAAATTGGGGCCCCCCCCCCCCCCCTGAATGACCATGAATAAAGATTAGGGGAGAATTTTCAGGGTCGGGCCTTGTTTAAAGGAGTTTAGTATTGGGCTCAGTTTTTTTGGTTTTCGAATACTACTTTAGAATTGGGCCAATTCAAAAGTAGTATTGGGCATGTTGTTTTTTCTTATTTTGCTTTGGGGGAATACTAGTTTAGAATTGGGCCAATTCTAAAGTAGTATTGAGCCAAGAACTTTTGCATGCATTTCATGAGGGATTGAGAAGGAAATTCATGAGGGTTTGCATGGGCTGGCATGCATTCTAGGAGGGATTGAGAAGGACATTCATGAGGGTTTGCATGGGCTGGCATGTATTCCAAGAGGGATTGAGAAGGACATTCATGAGGGTTTGCATGGGCTGGCATGTATTCCAAGAGGGATTGATAAGGACATTCATGAGGGGTTGCATGGGCAGGCATGCATTGGGACATTCATGAGGGGCATGCATGCATTCCAGGGATTGAGAAGGATCATGAGAAGGACATTCATGAGGGTTTGCATGGGCTGGCATGCATTCTAGGAGGGATTGAGAAGGACATTCATGAGGGTTTGCATGGGCTGGCATGGGAGGGATTGAAGGACATTCATGAGGGTTTGCAGGCATGCATTCTAGGAGGGATTGAGAAGGACATTCATGAGGGTTGCATGGGCTGGCATGCATTCTAGAGGGATTGAAGACATTCAAGAGGGATTGAGAAGGAAATTCATGAGGGTTTGCATGGGCTGGCATGCATTCTAGAGGGATTGAGAAGGAAATTCATGAGGGTTTGCATGGGCTGGCATGCATTCTAGGAGGGATTGAGAAGGACATTCATGAGGGTTTGCATGGGCTGGCATGTATTCCAAGAGGGATTGAGAAGGACATTCATGAGGGTTTGCATGGGCAGGCATGCATTCTAGGAGGGATTGAGAAGGACATTCATGAGGGGTTGCATGGGCAGGCATGTATTCCAAGAGGGATTGAGAAGGACATTCATGAGGGTTTGCAGGGGCTGGATGTATTCCAAGAGGGATTGAGAAGGACATTCATGAGGGTTTGCATGGGCAGGCATGTATTCCAAGAGGGATTGATAAGGACATTCATGAGGGTTTGCATGGGCAGGCATGCATTCTAGGAGGGATCGAGAAGGACATTCATGAGGGGTTGCATGGGCAGGCATGCATTCCAAGAGGGATTGAGAAAAACATTCATGAGGGTTTGCATGGGCAGGCATGTATTCCAAGAGGGATTGAGAAGGAAATTCATGAGGGTTTGCATGGGCTGGCATGCATTCTAGGAGGGATTGAGAAGGACATTCGGATTGATAAGGACATTCATGAGGGTTTGCATGGGCACATTCTAGGAGGGATTGAGAAGGACATTCATGAGGGTTTGCATGGGCAGGCATGCATTCTAGGAGGGATTGAGAAGGACATTCATGAGGGTTTGCAGGGGCTGGATGTATTCCAAGAGGGATTGAGAAGGACATTCATGAGGGTTTGCATGGGCAGGCATGCCTTCTAGGAGGGATTGAGAAGGACATTCATGAGGGTTTGCATGGGCAGGCATGTATTCCAAGAGGGATTGAGAAGGACATTCATGATGGTTTGCATGGGCAGGCATGTATTCCAAGAGGGATTGAGAAGGAAATTTATGAGGGTTTGCATGGGCTGGCATGTATTCCAAGAGGGATTGACAAGGAAATCCATGAGGGTTTGCATGGGCTGGCATGTATTCCAAGAGGGATTGAGAAGGAAATTCATGAGGGTGCAGGCATGTATTCCAAGAGGGATTGAGAAGGAAATTCATGAGGGTTTGCATGGGCTGGCATGCCTTCTAGGAGGGATTGAGAAGGACATTCATGAGGGTTTGCATGGGCAGGCATGCATTCTAGGAGGAGGGTTTGCATGGGCAGGCATGTATTCCAAGAGGAATTGAGAAGGACATGCATGAGGGTTTGCATGGGCTGGCATGTATTCCAAGAGGGATTGAGAAGGACATTCATGAGGGTTTGCATGGGTTTGCATGGGCGGGCATGTATTCCAAGAGGGATTGAGAAGGAAATTCATGAGGGTTTGCATGGGCTGGCATGCCTTCTAGGAGGGATTGAGAAGGACATTCATGAGGGTTTGCATGGGCAGGCATGCATTCTAGGAGGGATTGAGAAGGACATTCATGAGGGTTTGCATGGGCAGGCATGTATTCCAAGAGGGATTGAGAAGGACATGCATGAGGGTTTGCATGGGCTGGCATGTATTCCAAGAGGGATTGAGAAGGAAATTCATGAGGGTCTGCATGGGGTGGCATGCATTCTGGGAGGGATTGAGAAAGAAATTCATGAGGGTTTGAGTGGGCTGGCATGCATTCCAGGAGGGATTGGGAAGGAAATTCATGAGGGTTTGCATGGGCTGGCATGCATTCTAGGAGGGGTTGAGAAGGACATTCATGAGGGGTTGCGTGGGTCAATGTGTTGATTTTGATGGTTTTAAAAAGGAATTCTAAAAGAAAGGGATCCCATAAATTTGTGGATTTGGGATACATCTAGGATCAAGTGTGGGATGAGCCAAGTGGAATGGAAAGCTTGACCATGAATAAAGATAAGGGGATCAGATCTATTTTTTGATGGGGGAATCTGGTGAGCATTATTCATGGTCTGGTTATCATTTAGTGCCTCAGGGTTCATGGGGGGGTACCCTTGCTGCCAGGGTCAATGTGTTGATTCTAAATTTGTGGATTTGGGATACATCTAGAATCAAGTGTGGGATGAGCCAAGTGGAATGGAAAGCTTGACCATGAATAAAGATAAGGGGATCAGATCTATTTTTTGATGGGGGAATCTGGTTAGCATTATTCATGGTCTGGTTATTATTTAGTGCCTCAGGGTTCATGGGGGGCACCCTTGCTGCCAGGGTCAATGTGTTGATTTTGCTGGTTTTTTAAAAAGGAATTCTAGAAGAAAGGGATCCCACAAATTTGTGGATTTGGGATGAATCTAGAATCAAGTGTGGGATGAGCAAAGTGGAATGGACAGCTTGACCATGAATAAAGTTGAATAAAGATAAGGGGATCAGATCTATTTTTTGATGGGGGAATCTGGTTAGCATTATTCATGGTCTGGTTATTATTTAGTGCCTCAGGGTTCATGGGGGGTACCCTTGCTGCCAGGGTCAATGTGTTGATTTTGATGGTTTTTTAAAAGGAATTCTAAAGAAAGGGATCCCATAAATTTGTGGATTTGGGATGAATCTAGAATCAAGTGTGGGATGAGCCAAGTGGAATGGAAAGCTTGACCATGAATAAAGATAAGGGGATCAGATCTATTTTTTGATGGGGGAATCTGGTTAGCATTACTCATGGTCTGCTTATTATTTAGAGTCTCAGGGTTCATGACGCTGAATAAAGATTGGATGCCGCATGCAAATCCCATGTCAGGTTTCCCTGGCATGATCCCTGGAAAAATTCACTGTGAAACCATGCAAATCTCATGGGGGATGAGGGTTGGGAGCACTGACCAAATGCCAGAAGCATGCAAATCCCATGGTAAATCAGGTTCCCTGGCATGATCCCTGGATAAATTCACTATGAAACCATGCAAATTCCATGGGGGATGAGGGTTGGGAGCACTGACCCTGAATAAAGGATGCATGCAAATCCCATGGTAAAATGCATGATCCCTGGTGAAACCATGCAAATCCCATGGGGGATGAGGGTTGGGAGCACTGACCCTGAATAAAGATTGATGCCAGAAGCATGCAAATCCCATGGTAAATCAGGTTTCCCTGGCATGATCCCTGGATAAATTCACTATGAAACCATGCAAATTCCATGGGGGATGAGGGTTGGGAGCACTGACCCTGAATAAAGATTAGATGCCAGAAGCATGCAAATCCCATGGTAAATCAGGTTTCCCTGGCATGATCCCTGGATAAATTCACTATGAAACCATGCAAATTCCATGGGGGATGAGGGTTGGGAGCACTGACCCTGAATAAAGATTAGATGCCAGAAGCATGCAAATCCCATGGTAAATCAGGTTTCCCTGGCATGATCCCTGGATAAATTCACTATGAAACCATGCAAATTCCATGGGGGATGAGGGTTGGGAGCACTGACCCTGAATAAAGATTAGATGCCAGAAGCATGCAAATCCCATGGTAAATCAGGTTTCCCTGGCATGATCCCTGGATAAATTCACTATGAAACCATGCAAATTCCATGGGGGATGAGGGTTGGGAGCACTGACCCTGAATAAAGATTAGATGCCAGAAGCATGCAAATCCCATGGTAAATCAGGTTTCCCTGGCATGATCCCTGGATAAATTCACTATGAAACCATGCAAATTCCATGGGGGATGAGGGTTGGGAGCACTGACCCTGAATAAAAATCTGCATTTTGCATGGATCCCAATGGGAATTCTATGTTCTTTTGTGAGCTTGGGAACTCAGGATTCATTCACTCTTGTGGGGGGAAGGTTATTTGTTTGAATTACTTTATATTATTTTTCATCATTTTTTTATATTTTTTCCCCTGGGAAAAAACTTTTAGCATTATTCATGGTATATTTATTATTTTTTTTGAAAAAGTTTAGCATTATTCATGGTCTATTTACTAATCGTAGGTCAACATTACGCTTGCTTCCAGTCAGGAGAGCGGCTTTCGCCTTCGGCTTCGACTGAATGATGGACCGTGGGAAGAAGTTTACATCCAGGCGCGGCGACGGGAACGCCGGCAAGTTTGATAAATAATCAAATGATGCCAGTGGGCAAAGAGCATCAAAGAGCCGTGCAAAAATTATTGTAATAAGATGACCTGGAGGTGATGAAGTTCGTATACTCGATTTTTTACTTATTGGGAGTTGTTGCACCTGCACCACACAAGTTGGACCTTCCCCACTGAAATCTGTAAAACATGGGCTTGGTGTCCACAGATGTATGTTGCACTTCTTGGGTCGCGTCAGGGGGTTCGACTCCCGCCCTTTCTGGGCTGGGCTGCCTCGCCACCTGCTGTTGCTCATTGCCTGACGCCTGCTTTGCTGCGTATTTAGGTTTGCCATGTCGACCTTTCCGGCAAGATGAGAGGCCCTGCACCAAAAACCACAAAATCGGTAAACTTCCGCCCGCTTCTGCCTTTTCTGCGGCTTCGAGTCAGAACCTTTTCTGGATGTCAGCCTGGGGTGTCCATCCAAACACGCGCATATGCCATCGCATGTTGATGCGTGCTGCGGTCACTCCTTAGATGTCGATCGTCATGATCGCGATTTGAGCTGGGTTAGACCAACTTCACAAGCTTCTTTTTGGGGGCTGGATCTTATGTTGCTGGACCATGGTTGGCCCATCAGTGCTCTACCTGAACTTGTGGCGAATCTTGAGCAGTCCATCCGGCAGCAGGACCCCAAAAGACTGGCGGCAACAGACAGCATGTGGCACGCGCTTTCTTTGCAACCGCCCTGTCAACGATTGTAGGGAAGAAGTCTTTAGCACGAGAAGGCACCCTGTAATCGCTTCCCCCTATAGTTAAGACCTGGTCGTCCCCTATTAAAACTTCTTTTGTGGGAAACCATATTTATTAATATGCCACCACGGTCCACATCCAAATGGGGTGCCCCGTTGCCGGGCACAAAAGCCGACAAAATCGCAATCTGCTGAGTAAGAAACTTGCATGAAGTTGCTTAAGGTGCTTTTTGGCTTTGTCAATTTAAAGTAAAATAGGCACACTGAGTTTACGATAAGAAGGGAAGTGCTGAGAGTATTCCCTGAAGGCTGTCAGAAGCGGCTTGGCATTGGGTGAATTAAAGGTAAAAGGGGGAGGTCTGTTGGGGATTTGGGCCTGAACAAATTGGGGGTGGAGTCCCATCACGGTTTGGTTCCCATGTGATTGGGGTGGGGCAGAAGCACACCCAAACCAGGGTACATTCCTTAACCCCCAAGCAAGACGTTTCAGACCGATGCCGCCGCAGGCCTCTGCGTTTGGCCACGAGGCCCGCGCGGCATGCACCTGCAAGGGATCAAGTTGATGCCAGTGCTTTCTTCCTTGTGTTGAATTCGCCAGCGGGGGGGGGGGGGGGTTGCAATACGGCGTCCCGTCAGAGTTGGATGCACATTGTTTAAACATGTGAAGATGCTCGGACAGACCAGCATAGGCAGTTGCCCGTAGCTCATGTTGATGCTTGCCCGTATGCATTTGAAGCAAGGGCAGGTGGTCGAATTGTAGACTCACGTATTTTAAGAGGCCCAAGGCCAACTGCAAGCTGCTGAGCCAAATCTAAGTCTCATGTTGCTTTTTCTTTGAAGGCTTGTCAATTGCACAGAGGAGAACGCAACATATTCGCGTTGCAATGCATTGCAACAGTTGGGGAGGTTACGATTCCGGGCCATTTTCCCCAGACGGTAGCTTTGTTTAAGTGTCTAAAGCTATAGACGGTTTCGGGGCATGGGCACCTTTGGGGCCTTTGCGAACCTAGGGGGAAACGTTTCTTTTTTCAAAGCCCAACCCGTGATGGTCCAAGAATCTTCAGAAACGAGGCCTTCACCAGCACTCTGGACCTTGCGCTGCACGATGGGGCTCCTTGTGCGGCGGTGGTGGAGGTGTCGCAGCCTCAGACTTGCTGCCAGCCCTTGCGGGCCCTTCCCATTTAAGCTTCTGTGGAGGGGATCGTCAATCCTAAGGCAACACACTGTTTGCCAGATGGCAACAGCATCCGGATGTAGAGGGAACATGAGGGAGCCGGAAGACCAGGGCGGGAAAGTGCCCTTAGAATCCACAAAGGCTGCTGAGAATGACACCCACAGGTCCCTCAAGCAAGATCACTTAGGCTTCGCGTGTCAACATCCAACTTTGCCCGTTCGATTTGTTTCTCTCTTCTTTGTGCCACGCGCAGGTGGGGCCACGAGGCCAGGTGTTGGCGTGGTTACTGCGCGAGCTCATTCTGCTTTCTCGGTCTGAGGTTGACCACTTTCCTTACTTCCACACTTTGCACTTTGCCAATAGATGCCGGTTTTCTTCTTTGGTTCTTCCACCTCTTGCAGTACTGCAGTTTCAGTTGAATAGCAATCATGCCTGCAGGTTTTTTTGTGGCCCCCAAATGCCAGAAGGAGAGTCATCAGCAGTTCCAAGGCAAAGTAGGCCCCCAATATCCAACATATCAAGGAGCCATTGGGCGCAAGGTGTGGGAGGCCATGGCTACTTTGCATGGGCTCGCCCGTGAAGGTTGCTCATGTGCCCACTCGCATGCACTGCTCCCGCTTCCTTAGGCGCACAAACCACCCCTGCAAAGATCTCGAAGCTGTATCCCCTGCTGACCCTGGTAGAGACCAAACATCCGAATCCGAGTTGGACAAAAGAAAGGCCTGGCGCCCCTCCAACTTGTTTCGAGGCCACGTGACTGGGGATCAGTGCCAGGTTCGGGTCTTTGCGCCTTTTTGGTTCATCGACCGCTCCGGGCAGGGCGCACAGCATGTGTAATCTCTGCCAATTGTTTGCTCGTCTGCTTGACTTTTTGTTGCTTGCTTGGTTGCTTGTATTATTGCTTATTGTGTTTGTTTGGTTTGTTTGTTTGTTTGTTTGCCAGTCTAGATGGCTGGCTGGTTGGTGTTGGTTGCCATCGCTTTCAAGAGCTTGGTCGCTTGCCATGCATTGCCTGCGAGTTGGATTGCACAAGACTTGCCAGACAGCGGGAGCACGCCTGCACTTGGCTGGAACAAATAGTTGCCAAGTGTTTGCTATGCTTTTCCAAGCGCAGATGCCCCGGCAAAATGAAATGTCAAACAGAGAAGCACGTATTGTTGGCCTGGTACGTTCATCAATGTCTTGCCAGTTTTCCTAGGCTGTGTGGCTCTTTGGATTTGGACGTGCTCACTGGCAGTGCACTCGGTGGGGCCTCAAGGACCCCTTTGTTTGGGCTTGGCAGCCAGGAATTCCGATGTGCATCGTAAGGGCTTCCATTCGGACCGTGACCACGGCCCACAACTTGAGACCTGGCACCTGGCACATGCAACCACACATCGCGATTCGCTTGGCCCGCGGCACATGCGAACGCGAGCCAAGGCGACAAGCGGCTGCCGCGTGAGGGTGGTGCTGCGGCCCCAGGGATGCCAACCCAGCTGCCCTGAATCCAGCTAGCCCAACAAGCAGCCTATGGCCCTTTGCAAACATGTTGGACACACAGCAAGGCAGCCGTTGACAAGAGTGGCTTCTCACAAAGCGAGTGAAAGACGGGCAACACGCTCAAGCTGCATGGTGAAGCATCACTTACCGAACCACTCTTAGCTCATTGTGCAGGTGACGCCCCAACCCATATTCTCCATAAAGTGCAACCCCCAAATCGGAGGGAAGGCCCGAAAGCTGAACCAACTGTTTTATCGAGGTTTTGGTTTCAGATAGCTGCCGAAAATGGCTGAGCAGTAGGTTGCTAGCACGTTTTGCGCTCGGACGCTTGCATTTGAACCTGTGGGTTCAGCCTGATTTTCGCGTGGATTGATTCATCCCGGCTTTGCATGCTGCTTGACCTCTCATGTTTGGCAAAGGTGTCGCTCCTGCCTGGAAACGGCCTTCAAGAGCATTGCGAGCTTCTTCTTTGTGGGGGCCTGTGGCACGCAGTCATAGCGGAGGGGTTGGACTTGGGACTGGCTCTGGGTCTTTTGCCCAGGCCTCTTGCATGGACCTGGGTGTCAAGCAGGGACCAGGTGTTGCACCAAGTGGGGGCTCCTTATGTTCCTGGGACCCCGGCAAATTGATTGAACTTTTGGTGCCCCTCGAAAGTTATTCCAAAGCTGTCCAAATGTGTCATCTTAGGATGCGTACCTCATGTGCGATAGGTCTGAGGTCGGAGGAAGTTGAGAGACATAGGTGTTCTTTTCAGGCCACACTGAGTGGCCATAATTCTTGATGAGTGTCATCCATTTTCGAAAAGGACGCCTAGGTTTGGAGATGGCTTGCTCTCAGCGCTCGGCTGCTTCGCCCAAGTTGCCCAGGCACAAAATGAGTCCCAATGTGTCCAGTTGCGAAAGATGTTTCATCAGCGGCTGCAATTCGTGGCTTTTGCATTCCTAGAATGCTTTGTTCCCTGCAAACATTTCCGACTTCGGTCAGCAGATGTCATGTATGATGTTTGTGTGTGTATGAGGTGTGGCCAACTTGTCAGCATTCACTTTGTCATCACGTTTCGAAAAGGGGGACATGAGACCAAACTGGAAGACTGGATTTGACAACAAGGGGCCATGTTTTTTTTTGGTTTGAAACAATAAACCGTATATCTCTCACATGTCACCCTACCAGACCGCCAACCTCCGCCAGCACAGCACAGTCACGATCAGTCACGGCAAGCTGCCAACATTGGAGCCATAGACATCCTTCGCGCTGATTGGATTCCTGGATTGTTTGGCAAGCATGATGATGCCAGGCCCGGGCAAGATGATGACTTGCTGTGGCAGACTTGTCATGGAGTTTGCATGGAAAGTTGTCAGAATGGCGGATGCATAAACATGTCAGGTTCCAAACTGGCCCCAAAAATGGACAATCCCCCAGGCACCTGCTTGCAGAGTGCCTGCAAGTTCATTTAACAAGGCCGCACCTGACGCCTTTGTGCTTGCAGGCGGGAATGCCCTCATGGCCAAGCAGAATGCGCTCACTGAGCAGTTGAAAGACGTGCAGCTTGGTTTTATCTTTAGCCATGTATCATGCGAATTCCAGGTTCTTCCTTGCCAGGTTTGATGTCAGTGGGCAGTAAACGTCATGGTTGCATGCCATCCTGGTAAATGCTGAGACCGGAGATCCCGCCACAAATCAACAAGCAGGTGGCTTGGCTGCACGGATGGCAGCAGGGGTTGAAGATCCTTTGATTACAGTTTGAAAGCACGTAATGTTTACCTGGGATTGGTAAACGGGGGTCCACCCCTCACAATGCGGGCACCTGGAATAGTGTTTTGAGATCCAGTTCAAGTAAGTGTCCATTTGATTTAGAATGACTTGAGTTTCCATTTGATTTAGTATTGCTGGAGCTTACAAGGATTTATTCCAGGGGCCCCCGAAATAATGTCGAATTGGGAACCTGGAGTACTACCCCTTATGGGTTTGATGTGGGCAGGTGTATAACAAAATACATGTAAGAAAACATGGGTTTGGGAGAGCTGGGCATTTTGGATTTTGGGGAGCTGAAGAGCAAGGTTATAAAGATCCAAGGACCAGGTTTTGGCTTGGCTACCTATCCTCTTCTTTCTCTCCTTCTTTATATCTGTTTTTTTTTTCTCCTTCAGAAAATGGGCGGGGTTGGCGGGTGCTTGTCGTTAGTGCAGGTGCATTTACTAATCTTTTTGGGCCACCAGTTTGTCTATAAACCGGGTGCCTTCATTAATCCTAGGTGGACATTATGTAACATAAGAGACACACAGACATACAGACACGCGTGCACACAAACGCACGACACAGGCAACGTTCAAAGCACGGCCCAGCTGCACAAAACGGTGACGGGACGCGACGGGAAACCACACGACCTGATACAACACAGAGCGTTCGCGCGCACGGACGTCCGCTAAACAGCACTGAACAACCACACCGCATACCACATACCACGCGCCGCACGCTCCACACACCCAACAGCACAGAGCAGCTGAAAACACTATAGACAAATTACAATTTGTCACCACACACACACACAACGATATGGAAACACACCGCATGACACAACGAACCACACCATTATACCACACAGAATGCACCACACACCGCACAACAAGCATACGATCTTGCGTGTGGAAGATGTATTCCTCTCGTCTTGGTGTCGCTGTTGCATTTGCAATCATGAGACCATGTGTTTTGGTTTGCTAGAGTTGCTGCACAGCTTACCAACTTGAATCAATACCATCATGATTTTGTGCTTGTGCTGTTTTGGTGGTCCGAGCCATTCACTTGCCGTTTTCCGCCGATCGTATTTGAGGAGTTCTTCGCTGAAGTGGAAAAGAAGACCATGTGCCTGAGCTGAGTTGGCGCAGACACAAAGTCAATTTGTGAGAGGCAAGAGCACATCTCACCCTGACAACTGGCACAATCGTGGCCCTTTTTGAGACGCAGCGCTGCATCATGTTTGCGATGCCCAGTTGCAGCCCCTTGTACTTTCGAAAGACCCCCGCAAGACATGCCTCACTCTGAAATATGCTCTCCCTCTATGCGTTGTCTAAGCAATGCAGCGCCGGGATGGGTGGGGGGAGGCGGGGGAGCAGCCCGACATATGGAGAGCCGCGGCCAGGAAGGACGACTATTCCTGTGCTGCCGGTCCTCCCAAAATGAACGATGAAGAGCTGCCAGGACTACGCCGCTCGGACCGGCGGTTTCCAGAGCCTGTCTGGCCAACGTTGCTTCAGGATTTGAAGTTCTGGGGGCTTTTGGCAACCCCCCTTTCGACCCACGTAACTTGGCAGGTAGGGCCTTTGATTCACTTCTCAGCGGGAGTGAGTACCCTTGAAAGAGCAAAGTCTCCACAACCCATCTCAAAAATGATGAGGCGGCGTTTCTCAGATCAGAATTGGTATCGTACCAGCTCAGGCTACGGCGCCAGCTTGGAGATTCGCCCCAAGCTTTTGGTGCTGCCAGGGAGCCCCAGCATGGGGGTTGACCACGGCAGGGCCTCGTTTATGTCTTGCCCTGCGTGGGGCAGGCATACAGCATGCGGGTTTGCTGTGTCAACTGCAGGCCGGGAAGCCGCGTCTTTGCAAACTAGTCATGACTGGAAAGCCATACGCGTTGCACCTAGGTTGATGTATGTCGACACTTTGCAGGGTGCAGCCTTGCCTTGCTCGTCCTATGACTGAGGCCCTGTCCATGTCCTGGAGGCGTTTTCAACAAGGCCAGCTGCAAAATGCTGTCGCCATTATCCAAACTTTGTTTACTCCCGCGTGCGCTCCTACTTTCACGCCTCCACATATTTGAACACGTGCCTCAAGCCCTTGACCCGCATTTGTACAATTTTACAAGGCAGCACTGTATACATTTCCCCGTAAAGTGTACTTACCGCACTTTGCTTGAGGTGTAAGTGCTTGGGTTGCGCAAGCAGTGTCTGCAGGACATAGGTGACAGGCTAATAGATCATCATTGCCAGGCGTGGCGAGATAGCTCCGGCAACCTCCAGCTGCTTGGATGATGCTCGGAGTGCCATGATATCTTCGCGTTGCGACATTCATTTTTCCTCTCGCGATGGTGATGTGTTTGTCAGACATGTAGCGGGGTACGGCAGTGCGGCGAGCGCTTTCCAAGGCCAGGTGGTTTATGGGCTCATTGGCCCAAGCCAGAAACCGAGGAGCCTCCGTCAGATTCATCAGGTAGTTGGGTGTTGTCGCATGAGTCCTTTCAACTTCCTCCAGAAATACTGCCGAGTCAAAATCAGATGCAGTAAATTTAAGCATAGTGCCATTCCACGTAGATGTTTCAGGCAACAATGGGCATTTGTCAGAATCCCTCGTTCTGGTCTAAACCTTTTTAGTTCCCTTTTCAGCTTTTCAATCAAGTGCCCACAATCTGTATTTTTGACGCAGCCAGGAGCACACGAGCCTACCGCCTTTGTTCCATGAGCCTCGGCCTTGGGACCAGTCGCCGGTGAAGCCACACATACGTCGAACAAGAACGGGTCATTCTAAAGCAAGTGTAATTGTAAACGCTGCGCTTTGCCCGCCTCGGCCCAGCCGAGCGCGCGGCGTTTGTGGTTCGACTGCCAGCAGCAGAGCTGGTCAAGTGGCGATTCAGGCATGGACGGGTTCTGGCGTCGTTGGACCAATTAATTGATGTCATGGCCCGCAGGAATCCGCGAGGCAAGGGCAAGGCAATGCACAGGACCAGGAGCGATGGAGCCAGCAGACAGGGCGGGCTGGGCTGGGCCTTGCTTGGGTTGGTTGGTGGAGGGCCTGGCTGGGCGGGATGGGCTGAGCTTCTCAGATATGTGAGTCTAGTCTCAGGTTGACAGGTTGAGGCTGGTTTGTGTCCCGTGCTTGGGCGGGCTGTTGGTCATGGAGCCGGACGCCGACAAACCCAGAAAATTTCAAGGCCCGCCGGACAGGATCTTAGGCCAGCAGACATGGGTTAGGGGGGTGGGGGGTGGGCCAAAGCAGGAATTTGGGGAAGGGGTTGGGGAAGAGGAAAAGCGATTCTTTTTGGGAAGGCCGAGGCGAATTTGCAATTGTTATGGCCTAGCCCTCGCAGAGTGAAGTTGAAGCGGAGTTTTGCAATCCGACACTGTGCCCGGCACGTGCAGGGGATGTGCGAAGTTGGCGCGTAACACCAGTATGAACAGTGACTACAGGGCCGGCAGAAGATGCAGGCATGGCTTTGCAGATCTGTGTTGGACAATCGCGTGCTTCGCCCGGCGAAGCTTCCGGCAAAAGGCCCACTGCAAGCTTTCATTACTTAGAAAACTTTCTATCATTCTCTTTTCTATCATTTCCCACCGAAAACCTGCTGCAGTCTTCATAGTTGATAGCACCGCTTGGTAAGGTCTTGCACGAAGACTTGGCACAAATCAACACCCAGCTCTTCTGCATAGCGTGCGCAAGCATCTCTCTGCGCGAGTGGGGGGGGGGCCCGGGACACATCAC